CTTGTCTTGTGTAAACAGTGTCTCACAAGGGACTTCGTTAGGAAAGTGTTAAGTTATTGATTTTACATGGGAGGAGAATCTGCAGGTGATAAGGAGACTCAAAAATATTTTGAAAAAGTACAGGGCTTTCCGGTGGCTATGAATGATTATCCTTGTCCTAAATGTAGGCATTGTTTTTTATGTTTGTCGGCTATTTGTAATAACTGTGGGATATATTTGTCATCAGAGACATTATTCTTATACCAAACTGATGATCTGATTTATAAAAGATGTGGGGCACCTTCCAGTTTGTTAGGTGTGATTGATCCCTGCCTATATTGTGCTTTGGGGCAGAGTAGACTTTCTCGAAGGCAGGAAAAAGAACTCCTCAAAGATAAAAAAGTGAAAATTTAAGATGGGTGGATCACAGAGTAGTGAAGTTTTGAAGAAAAGTCCTCTTGGTTGTATTCTAGCTCACTGGAAAAAGATAGGAGGACCGCCCAGTGGGAACATGAATATAAAGACCTTAATTAAATATTGTAACCAGTGGTGGCCCCTCTATAAATTAGAGGGCGAAGAAAAGTGGCCAGTTAATGGAACTTTAAATTACACTACTTTGTTACAGTTAATGTTATTCTTGAGACAAAAAGGAAAATGGAATGAAATTATGTATGCAGATATGTTTTTCACTGTACAGAACCATCCTGAGTGGCAAAAAAAGAATGTGGAATTAATGTTGCCCTGCAGGATCCTCTGGTATTATCACTGGAAAAAGGTCAAAAGAAAGTAGAAGGGAAATTAAAGTGATGCTGTTCTGCCTGTAGTATTGGACAGCGTTGTCTTAAAGCTACAAAGACCAAAAATGAAAAACAGGATCCTATGCTGGAACCAGAGGAGTTAAGGGCTCCCATTTTGAAAAATCCACAGGCAGAAGCAGGAAACTCTCAAACAGACAGTAGCAGCGAAAGTGAACGGGAAGTGAGAGCCTCTGGGGGAGATACTACTATAACAGCATGAACTAGGAGAAAAACTCTCAAAGTACTATACTGTACTCTCAACAGTACTATACTGTTGTAGGGGATACTGTTGTAGGTGTCTGTTACAGACCACCAGATCAGGGTGAGGAAGTTGACGAGGCCTTCTACAGGCAGCTGAGAGCGGCCTCAGTCACAGGCCGTGGTCATCGTGGGGGATTTTAACTTCCCTGATGTTTGCTGGAAGGACCACTCGGCAACCCAGCCACAGTCCAGGAGGTTCCTCCAGTGTATGGATGATAACTTCCTCCTGCAAATGGTGGATGAGCCAACCAGGAGAGGAGCGCTGCTGGATCTCATCCTCACTAACAAGGAGGATCTGGTCAAAGCAGTAAGGGTTGAGGGCTGCCTTGGTTGCAGCGACCACGAGATGGTGGAGTTCAGGATCTTGTGTGGTAGGACTAGTAGAATAGCAAGTAGAATTGCAACCCTGGACTTTAGCAGGGCAAACTTTGGCCTTTTCAAGCAATTGCTAAGGGAAATCCCATGGGCAAGGCTGTTTGAAGGTAAAGGGGCCCAAGATAGTTGGTTGGCATTCAAGGATTGCTTTTTCCGAGCTCAAGATCGGAGCATCCCAACACGTAGGAAGTCAAGGAAGAGGGCCAGGAGACCTGCGTGGCTAAATAGGGAATTGCTGGGTATGCTCAAGTGGAAGAGGAGAGTTTACAGGTCATGGAAGGAGGGGCTGGCCACTTGGGAGGAATATAAGGCTGCTGCTAGAGGATGTAGGAAGGCAGCTAGGATGACTAAGGCCTCCTTAGAATTAAACCTGGCGAGAAGGGTCAAGGACAGCAAAAAGAGCTTTTTCAAATACATGGCAGACAAAACTAACACCAGGGGCAATGTAGGCCCACTGATGAACGGGATGGGTGCCCTGGTGACAGAAGATACAGAGATGGCAGAGTTACTGAATGCCTTCTTTGTCTCTGTCTACTCTGCTGCGGGCAGTCCTGAAGAGCCCTGTACCCCTGAGACCTCAGATGAAGTCAGGTCGACGAAGCGGTTTGCCTTAGTCGATGAGGAATGGGTTAGAGACCAGTTGAGCAATCTGGACATCCATAAATCCATGGGTCCAGATGGGATGCACCCGCGGGTGCTGAGGGAACTGGCGGAAGTCATTGCTAGACCACTCTCCATCATCTTTACCAAGTCTTGGGAAACGGGAGAGGTGCCTGAGGACTGGAGGAAAGCAAATGTCACTCCAGTCTTCAAAAAGGGCAAGAAGGAGGACCCGGGTAACTACAGACCGGTCAGCCTCACCTCCATCCCTGGGAAAGTGATGGAACACCTTATCCTTGGTACCATCTTAAGGCATATCAAGGATAAGAAGGTTATGAGGGGCAGTCAACATGGCTTCACCAAGGGGAAATCATGTTTGACCAATCTCTTAGCCTTTTATGAGGAAATAACACGGTGGATGGATGATGGCAGAGCGGTGGATGTGGTCTACCTTGACCTCAGCAAAGCATTTGACACAGTCTCCCACAGCATCCTCACGGCTAAAATGAGGAAGTGTGGTCTGGATGATCAGGTAGTGAGGTGGACTGTGAACTGGCTGAAGGAGAGAAGCCAGAGAGTTGTAGTCTCTGGGGCTGGGTCTAGTTGGAGGCCTGTAACTAGTGGAGTGCCTTAAGGGTCAGTACTGGGACCAGTATTATTTAATATATTCATCAACGATTTAGATGAGGGAATTGAGTGTACTATCAGCAAGTTTGCTGATGACACTAAGCTGGGAGGAGTGGCTGACACACCAGAAAGCTGTGCTGCCATCCAGCGAGACCTGGACAGGCTGGAGAGTTGGGCAGGGAATAACTTGATGAACTATAACAAGGGAAAGTGTAGAGTCCTGCATCTGGGCAGGAACAACCCCAGGTTCCAGTACAGGTTGGGAAATGACCTGTTAGAGAGCAGTGTAGGGGAGAGGGACCTGGGGGTCCTAGTGGACGACAGGATGACCATGAGCCAACACTGTGCCCTTGTGGCTAAGAAGGCCAACGGCATCCTGGGGTGTATTAGAAGGGCGGTGGTTAGTAGGTCGAGAGAGGTCCTCTTTCCCCTCTACTCTGCCCTGGTGAGACCCCATCTGGAATATTGTGTCCAGTTCTGGGCCCCTCAGTTCAAGAAGGACAGGGAGCTGCTGGAGAGAGTCCAGCGCAGGGCAACAAAGATGATTAAGGGAGTGGAGCATCTCCCTTATGAGGAAAGACTGAGGGAGCTGGGTCTCTATAGTTTGGAGAAGAAGAGACTGAGGGGTGACCTTATAAGTGTCTATAAATATATAAAGGGGGAGTGTCACGAGGATGAAGCCAGGCTTTACTCAGTGGCAAACAATGACAGGACAAGGGGTAATGGGTACAAACTGGAACACAAGAGGTTCCACTTAAACTTGAGGAGAAACTTCTTCTCAGTGAGGGTGACGGAACACTGGAACAGGCTGCCCAGGGAGGTTGTGGAGTCTCCTTCCCTGGAGACATTCAAAACCCGCCTGGACACATTCCTGTGTAACATTATCTAGGTGTTCCTGCTCCGGCAGGGGGATTGGACTAGATGATCTTTTGAGGTCCCTTCCAATCTCTAACATACTGTGATACTGTGATACTTCAAATTGTAGCACCCCTTAGGCAAATTATGGGACCTGAAGGGGATCCAGTTAGAGTTCAAGTTCCTTTCAGAACTGGAGATATGGATAACTGTAAAGAAATGGCTAAAGGGTATCGGGAAGATCCTGATAAAGTGGCTAAGAGGTTTGAGTTAAGTTTTAGAAATCGGGATCCTGACTGGTCTGATGTTGATTTAATGCTTGGAGAAATGACTGAAACTAAAAAACAGTTGATATTGAAAACTGCTAGAACTCACGTCCAAGCTCAGATTACAGGAGCTTTACAGGGAAATGTGGATCAGCATGTACCATTGACTAAACCTAGCTGGCCCCTAATACTGCAGGAGGACATCAGATGTTGAGTCGTTACCAGGATTGGATTAAGTTAGGACTAGAACATGCTATCCCCAAAGCAGTAAAATGGTCAGCACTTTATGTAGTAAAACAAAGGTAAAGTGAACCCCTGACTGATTTTTTAGATGATCTCCAAAGTGCAATGAGGAAATATAAGACTTTGGACCCATCCTCACATATTGGAACATAGCAGTTGGTTTCATTATTTCTAGGGCAATCAGCCTCAGATATTAGAAAGAAACTACAGAATTTGAAAGAGCCGGAAATAAGAGACTTGTCAAAGTTCTTAGAAGAGGCTTGGAGCATGTATAGGAATAGAGATGGAGAAGAGAAGGTTGACTAGAGTCACAGCAACTGCAACGGTGGCCTCTTTAGAGCAAAGTAGAAACAGGAGACTGTTACCAGGATGTGGCAAAGGTAGACCTATGAGAGGAAGGGGGAAAATATGGAATGAACTGAGGATCAGCCAATGTGCTTATTGTGAGAAGGATGGACATTGGAAATGTGAATGCCCTGAATTATAGAAAAGCTCCTCTGCCATAATAGCTGCTACAGATTGACGAGGACCTGGTGCATCTACCCTAGCAGATCCACTGGTTAAAATAAAGCAAGGGGAACGTGAGAAGGAAGTTGATTTTTTAATCGATACGGGAGCATCCTTCTTCATTCTAAACCAAATGCTCGTGCCCATAAGTAATGACTTTGTAAATATAATAGGAGCTACTGGCCAGCAGAAAGAGGTATTTTTCTCTAAACCCCTTGAATATAAATTGGGAAAACAAATTGGAATACACGGATTTTTATATCTACCAAATTCTCCCAAATCCCTGTTGGGACAAGATTTATTGGAACAATTAGAGGCAACCATTGAATTTAAATGAGGAAATATAGAATTAAAAGTAAGAGAAGAACAGTTTATTGAAATTTTAAGTGTAGTTATGATAGACTCAGAAATATCCCAGAAATCTGAGATATTAGAGATGTGGAAGAGATTTTTAATCAAGTATATCCAGGGGTATGGGCTTCAGAATTAAATGCAATTCCAATATGTGAAAAATGCAATTCCAATAATAATTGAGCTTAAAGAGGGAGTGAGTCCAGGAAATAAAAGACAATACCCCTTAAAATTAAAAGATCAAAAAGGAATAGAGGATAAATTAATAAAAACTGGATTATTAGTTGAATGCAAATCTGATTATAATACCCCTCTATTACCAGTGAAAAAGCTAGATGGTACTTACTGTCAAGTACAGGATTTGAGGACAGTTAATAAAATAGTTAAAGACTTACTTACATCCAGTGGTAGACAATCCGTATACACAGCTCACGAAACTTAAAGATGCCCAGGTCTGGTTCACGGTACTGGATCTAAAAGATGCATTCTTCTGCCTCCCCCTGGCTCAAGTCAGTCAGAAAATATTTGCTTTTGAGTGGGAAAAACCCAACTGGGAGAAAAACAAAATTGACCTGGACAGTGTTGCCTCAAAGGTTTAAAAACAGCCCAACAATTTTTGGAAATCAACTACCTCGAGAATTGGAAATGTGGAAACCTCTGGAAGGAAATGGAGTTCTATTGCAGTACATGAATGACTTGTTAATTGCAACTGAAACTGTGACTGAGTGTATTCAACAGACAATAAGTTTATTGCATTTTCTTGGACTAAATGGATATCGAGTCTCTCAACAGAAAGCACAACTAGTACAGAAGCAGGTGATCTACCTGAGATATGAAGTCTTCGGAGGACGAGTGTTGGGGACTGAGCGCAAGGAAGCCATCTGCCAAACTCCTCTTCCTCAAACGGTGAAAGAACTCAGCACTTTCCTTAGAATGACACGTTGGTGCAGATTATGGATTTACAATTATGGCATCATAGTTAAACCATTGTATGAACTTTTAAAAACCAACAATATGCAAATGATATCGACAGGTAAATCAGAAATCACTTTTGAAACCCTCAAGAAAGAACTCATGAGAGCTCTTGCCCTAGGGTTGCCTGATGTGACAAAGCCATTTTGGCTCTTTTCACATGAGAAACAGGGAATAGCTCTTGGAGTCCTAGCGCAACAATTGAGGCCCTATAAGAAAGCTGTGGCCTATTTCTGTAAACAACTGGATGAGGTCAGTAAAAGTTGGCCAAGATGCCTACGAGCAGTGACTGCTGTGGTACTGAATATGGAAGAAGCCCTTAAGTTTACTTCGGGTCAGAAGATATCAGTGCTGGTATCACATGCTGTGTCAGCGGTGCTCGAGCAGAAAGGTACTCATTGGCTATCCTTTCTAGATTCCTAAAATGTTGGGCAATCTTGGTCAAGTCAGATGATATGGAAATTCAGACCACTAATGTTGTAAATCCAGCTTCCTGTCTTGAAGGAAAAGCTAGGGAACCACTGGAACATGACTGTATTGAGACTATAGAAGCTGTTTACTCAAGCAGACCTGACTTAAAAGAAGAGCCTCTGGAAGAAGCACAAGATTCCTGGTATACTGATGGAAGCAGTTTTGTCTGTCAAGGAATTCATAAGTCAGGATATGCAATTATCACCACTACAGAGGTAATTGAATCAAATCCTCTACCTGTAGGAGCATCTGCTCAAAAGACTGAACTCATTGCCTTATAAGGGTGCTGGAATTGACAAAAGGGAAGAAAATTAACATATGGATAGATTCTAAGTATGCTTTTGGAGTTGTTCATGCCTATGGGGCAATTTGGAAAGAACGAGGCATGTTAACATCACAAGGAAAACAAATTAAATATGCAGAGGAGATTCTCTGTGCAGTAAAGACTGTAAAATTACCTGTGCAAGTTGCCATTACACATTGTCGAGGGCATCTTAAGGGTGATACTGACCCAGAAAGAGGTAACAGATTGGCTGATTTTAAGGCCAGGCAGCAGAACAAACACAAGGGCCCTTGGTGATGGCGTTAGTTCCTAAAGGAAAAATTGTGAATCGAACAGAAGTCTAATATTCATATTCAGATCAGAAACTGATTCAAGAAAAAAGGGGACAAATTCCATCTCAGGGATGGGTTCATCATAAAGGATGGGCAAGTCATAATACCAAGCAATCAAATGTGGAAATTTGTCAAAGATGAACATAAGACTCAGACTATATGACTATCTGAAGACTATACTCTTCCCTTGTTATTTTCTCTTATCGTTGTAGTTGGTAGTAGCGGTGGTGATTTGTGTTGTACATTGGTTGCTGGACTGTTCTTGTCTCAACCCGTAGGAGTTGCACTCTTTCGATCCCCCTCCCCGTTCCTCCGGGAGCAGGGAAGGGGAGAGCCCTGAGGGGGTGTGGGGGGGCCTCCATTGCTCTCAGCCCGGCACCACTCACTGGGAGTGAGTGAACAAGCTGTCTGGCGAGGGTTTAAACCACGACAACTATTATCAGACAAGTCACTCAGCAATGTGAGATCTGTTTAAGAAACAATCCTAATACAGGAAATAAGATAGAACAGGGAACTATAGGGAGAGGAAACATTCCAGGAGAGCACTGGCAAATTGATTTTTCTGAATTACCAAGAAAAGGGGGTTACCAATATTTACCAGTATTAACAGACACCTTTTCTGGATGGCCAGAAGCTTTTCCATGTAGAACTAATAAGGCCAGAGAAGTGACTAAAGTGATATTAAATGAAATAATACCCAGATTTGGAGTACTGATAGTTATTTCAACTGATTGGGAAACACATTTTTGTGCACAAGTAGTGCAACAGGTTAGTAAACTATTAGGAATTAATTGACAAATCCATATTCCATATAGACCACAAGCTAGTGGACAAGTAGAAAAGATGAATTGTATGATTGAGCAACAAATCGCTCAAATTTGTCAGGAAATTCATTTATACGGGTATCAGGCGCTTCCTATCGCTCTATTGAGAATACGTGTAAAACCAAGACCTAAGGAAAAGTTAAGTCCTTTTGAAATTCTGTATGGAAGGCCATATCAGACAGTTGGAATAAATAACACCAATCTAGAACAATTAGGAAATCACTATTTCCAAGAATATATGATCTCTTAGGGTAAACAATTAGAAAAAGTCCATAAACAAGTTCAGAGACTAAAGTTACAAGCTTAGACCATAAAGTTCCCTCTTTTAACCTGGGTGATTGGGTATATTTTAAGAATTTTCCAGGTGACCCTCTTCAGGAGAAGTGTGACGGACCATAACAAGTGCTGCTAACAACATTCACAGCTGTCAAGGTACGAGAACAACCTTCCTGAATCCATTATTCCAGAATAAAGAAGGCATCTGAAGAGTGGAGAGTGGAAGTTACAGGACCATTACAATTGAAATTCCAGAGAGATATGGGACAATGAATTTATGGCTGCTAATGTTAATGTATATAGGCTGTAGCATTGGTTATAATGAAAATCTAATTTTGCAATTAGTTCAAGGGTTTGGAAGGATACAGAATGTATCCTCCATTACTGACTGTCTACCAGTGCCAACCAAAGCAGAAAATCCAATTCCAAGAGGAATTTTACCCACCAATTTGACAAAAATTTGGGAAAATATGTGGCAAGGACATAATGAAAGCAAGTTACAATAGGTAGTTATGGAAGGAAATTACTCTCTGAATTATAAAAATGTCAACGATTCAGTTACTAAATGTAATGTAACTAAACCTCCTACTTCTTGGTCCAAGAAAATAACATACCAGCCCTCTGGAGATCAATGTACAAACATTGCATGGGACTGTCAGATATCAGAGGTTTGGAAAGATGTTCAGAAAGGATCCTGGGAAGTTATGCCCTCAACTGGGTGGTGTATAGAATTTAACATTATGTCCACTATGGAGAAAATCCCCCTTGCAACCATCTCTATGGAGACGAGTAAAGAGAGAAAGTCAGGAAAATTGGCAATCCCCTAGCACAGGTACAAGAATATTATGGGTTATAGAGGCTATTTTCACTCCAGGATGCTTGACATTAGAAAATATATATGTTTTACATAACCTTACTCAACAGATAGAAAGTTTAGCGAACGCCACCCAAAAGAGTTTGCAGGACTTAAATAAGCAATTACAGATAACTTCCAAAATGGTATTGCAAAATAGACTGCCATTAGACCTACTCCATTTAAAAGAACAAGGAGTGTGTGGCCTTCTAGGATTAAAAAATGGAACATGTTGTATACACTTTCCAAATGTCACTCAAGATTTAAATGAGCAAATTGATCATGTTAAGAGAATAGCATGTGACAGTAGAGCTTTAAGAGAAAGTATGGAAACTACTTTGTTCAACAAAATTCTACAGGGATTTGGGTTTTCTCTCACAGATTGGCTTGCTAGCTTGATACAAACTCTGATTGTAATTATTATAATAATTATATCAGTAGGAATAACCTAGGTTGTATTAAGAAAATTATAGCTAGAAATTTAACAGGAATCTATGTAGCAGTAAATCAAACTTATCAACTGCATAACCTCTCATATGGTACAAAATGAAAGAAATAGTTATCCTTTCTGTGCAAATGCAAAAGAATTTGCTAAAGTTACAGAAAAGGGGAAGAACTGATAATAGAAAATCACTAACACAAAGGAGCTACATACTAAGACAAAGAAGCTTTAAGGAAAAGAAAAAGCATAAAAATTGTAAGGTCAGTTAGTTAATTAAGTATCTTTGTTACTGTCTGTCTAAGCCTAAGCCAATAGGGACTGCTTGTGTGCAAAAGATAAAGATGTATACTGGTTAGGACTACTTCGGTGGTTTGGGAAACTGCCATGAAAGTACTACATATACTCCAAGAGAAAGGGTGAAAAAGTTCAACCTAGAGGAAGAATTTGAGCCTTCATCTTCACGATCACTGTCAACCACCACCAGGGGACAGATACATGCTCAAGGAGGAGTGGCAGAGTTCCAAGAAGGAACCCTCCTCTTCTCAGAAATCTTATAAATATCTACTAACATAAATTTTTGACAACCTGGACAGTGTTAGGAGGAGCAATCCCCCATGCACCCAGAGCTGAATAAACAAATACCTATTTAATAGTTACATTGACTATTGAGTTTCTTTATGATGCTTTTCTCGGCATCAATTCAGCGATGAATACATTGAAAAGGCAGAGCTACATTCAAGCAAGAAGCAGCATAACTTTTGGAATTTTTGAAGACTGTGCTCAGGACATCTTTAAACTGGAATTGGTCTATCCTTTGCATATTAAGCTTTGCATCTTGCCAGTAAATCCAGAGTTTATGCTAGTCAGTTTAAAGTACCTCCCAGAAAAACATAAACCAGCACAAAACCAGAACTGTTCCAGTAGTGCAACACCTGATTGATGGCTGCCTTATCTGTGATAGTACCAGTGCTCCCCCCCCCACCCCGCCCAGCAAAACTAAAAAATCACAGGGCACTATGAGATGACAGTACCATCTCACAGCACATAAAGTCATCTTGTTTAGAAAATAAGTGAGTTCATTTCCCTTAATCTTTTATTCCACGACAAAATAGGTAGTATGCTACAAACTTTGTATAAATTTAAAATGATTTGGTTTCTTTTTTCTACTGATGAGAAAACATCTGATGTAACTTATACAAGAAAATAATCAAATAGGTCTCAAAAACTAACTAGATGAAGGAAGCGCTTCTATCTTTCATCAGAAAACCACAAACGATAAAAAGACTGACAAGCGTGCTCTCTTTATAGTCGTTTAGACGGAAGGGTCATTATCAGAAACGCTTGTTTACTGCTTTTTAAATTAGTTTAGCACTTGTGTGAAAGAAGAAACTAGATTTGCACAAGTTCCTAGTACAGCGATCTGTAACTGATATCAGTGGATTAGATAAGCAATTCGGCTTGCCCGGAAAGGAGGTGGGTAACATCCGTCCTCTAAAGGACGAACATGTCCCGGTGCCTGTCGCTGCGCAGAGAAGGGAGCCTTGGGCCGGTTTTGCGCACCAGAGAAGACTGGGAGGAAGCGGCGGACGAGGAAGATGATGATGATGATGAGGGTGGCGGCGAGGGGAGCCGCTGTGGGGGAGCGGCAGAATCAGCTGCCTGGCCCGGTACACTGCCTCTCCTGGGGTTGGGAAGGAGCAAAGCCGGGGAGCTGGCCAGGGGGAGGCTCTGGGGGCCGGGCAGGTGCCCTGCCCTGCCCAGCACATCCCTCCTCCCGCGGGCAGCCCCGCTCCCGCCCCGGCGCCTTCATTAGCTCTAGGGCGGCGGCCGGCGGTAGCGGGGTCGATGGTGGAGGCGCGGTGGCGGCGGCAGCGACAGAAGCGGCGTTGGGGGGTGCCGGTGCTGCTGGTGGTCTATGTAGGCTATGTGGGGCTGGGCGCCGGGGTGCTGCAAGCGCTGGAGCGGCCGGCCGAGGCACGGGCGGCTCAGCATCTCCTGCGGCAGCGCTGGGAGCTGCTTGCCAACCACACCTGCCTGCGGGGACCCGCCCTGCAGCGGCTCATCGAGGTGAGCCCGCGCCCCAAGGGGCCAGCACTGCCGGCAGTAACGAGAAACGAAACCCAGAACTCTTCTATGCGTACACATAACCCTGCCCCGAAGAAGCTGTCCGCAGCGTGGGAAAACCTTTCCGCGCCGCGGGCAGCTTCCTCCGGGCGGGCTCCGGGCTTCACTGGGCTGCTCTCCCGGGGCTTCGACCGCTGAAGAGCTGCCCCGTCCCTGCGGCACCTCCGCAAGTCGCGGCGTTCGCGAATCTTTCAGCGGTGGCCGAACTCCCGCGGTGTGGGGATTACTCGGGGCTAACTGCAGGTGGGTTAGGTCTGGTTTGCAGCTGAGCTCACTGAGAATGAGTTATAGGCTGTGGCACCCTACAAGTGGTAAATCCTAACAGGAAGACTTTGTCGTGGTAAGTTTAACTGGTGTGTCATGACAAGCTTTTCCAGTTTTCTGCTCGTTATTTGAAGGGAAATAGAAAATAATTATAGCACTACTTAAAGTATCCTTAAAAACATGTCTGAGGATGTTTACAGGATGGTTCTGAAATGTAAAATATGACTGAATGCAATCTTACTGGAGAACAAGTGTGTGCATTTTATAATACAGATGTGAACAAAGTGAGATAAATGGGTTCTTTCCTTGTTTATTTTCCATGTGAAAAAGAAAACCTACAATATTGAAGTGGCTTCATTATTTATCCAAACCATTGTAGTTCACTCCATGCTGGTGGTTGAATATGTACTGCTTGCTTTGGTCTATCTGCCTAAGAGAGGTGTTGCCAAACAATAACAGAAAAACAGGTGGTTTTTTTTTTCTGTAAAAGCAGCATTTGGTAGTGGCTGGCCACCAGAGTTCAAAGGATCTAAAAAGGACTTAAATAAGTGTCCCAAATAGAAAATCTTGTCAGGAGTTCCAGCAAAGACCTGGCAAACAGAATTATGCTGATGAACTATGTCAGGCTCTTATCCCTTGACTTTCTAATGGTAAGTGCTCTGTGGCAGTCAGCGTTATATTGAAGATATTATATAAATTTGGACCCTCATATGCTACCATGGTATCTATTCTCATTATTCATTGTGTGTGCTGCATACTGTGCTAGCTGTGGGATGTAAATAGAAGTAAGAAACAAGTGAGAGAACACCAGTCTGGCACTTCATAAAGGCAGGTCTGAGCTGAGCTTTGTTCTATGCTGCTTGTGGAACAGTGAGTGCTTGACCTGCCTCTTGCCCTGAGATTGGAAGGGTTTCACTTGACGAATGACAGCAATGAGGTGATAGTAGTAGAGAGAAGATAATGATCACACCTGAGTATATAGAAAAGTCTTTCTAATATTGTTCTGATAATTTGTTTTTCTTTATATACCTCTACTAGTTCTTGATACTCTCATATGACAGCTGACCAAATGCCTTTAGACCAGGCATTGTAATAATAAGCTATGTGAGTACTTGGTTGGGATCTGAGCAACCCTAGGTGATGAAATTAAGAAGTTTTATTTCATTTTATGGAGTGTCTGTGCATATCTTTGTACTTTGAAAAAAAAACATAGTCTGAGTTTGAATGGCTTTGTGTGCTATTTTTAATAACTTTCAGAGTGAGAAATTAGCCTTAAAAATATAACCCACAGGATTGCTTCTCTCCTATATGCTTCTCTAATTTCCTGTGGAGTAATTACTTGGTATTGGAAGCATGCTTTAAATAATGGGAGGTTTTTTTCTGTGTGGTACTTCGTTATTGCAGTTGATTCCACATAATTTATCAGGCAGTGTCATCACTGGCCCTCTTCAGCTAACAAATTTGTATTCTGAATACGCAGCTGATTATTTGCTAATTAAGAAAGACATAAAGAGTGTCTGTGAAAACGTAAAGCAGCATGTGAATTTTAACTGCTTTGACATTCCTGGCAATTCCTCATTGTTTTCTTACTGCTCTTTCATACTTCATAATTCCAAACTCTGTTTAAGTGTATATGGGCCAATGGGGAATAAAATCCCAGTTTGCTAAGCAGTGTACAAATGTCATTTTACAGCCTGTTTATTGCTCAGTTCCTAGTTACCAACCAGGAGTGGAAATCCACTGTTCCAGCCCTTTCACAGATAGAGAGCAATAGAGAACTCCTCCTTTGAGGAGCTAGCAGGAGAGAAGGGCATGAGGATGGACAGGAGGACTGGATGGACAGACAGTACTGTAGTAGCCAGAATGAATTCTCATTCAGTAATTTCATGGGCTCAGATCCTTTCAGGGGTGAAATAATTTTCTGGTTAACAACAGAAATGACAGAAGGACATGGGAATAGTGGACCAGCAACAGAAACTGAATGTCAAGGGGGGAGTGTTAGTGTGCAACACCAGTAGTGGTAGGTCCCTGCTTCCCACAGCTGTTTGTTTTTTGTTGCTGGATTTTTTTGCCTGGAACTGGCTGCCTCCTTTCCTGCGGGACGCTGAACAGCTTCGCATTTCCTGAATAGTTGAAGGTAGCATGTGTGAATGCTTTATGTATAAACAAACAAAACATGCATGCTCATGTGTTTACTCGTACATAAACGTGCATATGGGGAAGACTGACTTCTGTTTTTTCTTGGCTTTCTTTACTTGTTTAGGAAAGGACAACATAAGGGATCACAGGGACTCTGGCCACGTGTCCCTTTACTGTGCATCCAAGTGATATCTACTCAAGGACAATATAAATTTGGTTTTGTTGACCCATCTAACCCTATGCTATTTTTCTTACACAAACACATGTTCACCAAATGCAAGATCAAGAGAAAACAGTTCCTCAAGAATCATTAGGCTACATAGAAAGAGGGCAGTGTTGGGCTTTTAGTTATAAATACGATGGTGGTCTTCACATGCCACACATGATGTGACTTTAAGGTCACATCAAAGGATTCTCTTGATCATAAAACTCACAGAAGGAGAAAACAAATGCAATGATAGGGCAGGTTTCAGGTTATACACTCTAAATACAGTAAACAACAGTAGCAGGACTTGGCTCGGGGAAAAAAAGCATGCAACAGTCTTTGTACAGGCAAAAATGATGTTGTTTCCAGATTTGAGAAACATCCAGAGAGTAAGGTTACACATAGAGGGCACTTTCTGTACGGGTCTTGGCTGTAACAGACATGCCCTCTCTGACCTTTTAGGGGTAGGGAGCACCTAGACACACTACCCAGTGTGATGCCCTTCTACTGCACGTATGTCTTGGTTTTACTGCCGGGGCAAGTATGTATAGCTCTGCTCCAGCTGAGTTGTCCTTCAGACTCGCTCTTTTTCCTGCACTGTTTTCAGTGGTTACAGGCACCAGTGTGGCCATTGCTGCTGTACTTATTAGCATTTTTTTAGCCAGATGATTGGCCCTGTAGCCAGGCTTGGAAGAGTTTTCGCCATTTTATGTGTTAGGCTGTTACCATGACATTGTTTTCATGCTGCCCTTTTATTTTTTTGCTATAAATTTATTGTTGTTATATACCTATTTTCCTAATATAGCTATTTCCTGTGTTTATTATATTGTTCTATCCACATTCTACTATTGCAGGTGTTGCTTACATAAACTGGAGAAAAGAAAATGCAAACTTAGCTAAATGACCTTTTTAAAATCTAGCAGGTTTTAAAATTATTTAAAATCCAGCCGGATTAAAAAAAAATGTAGTGAAAAAGACATAATTTTAAAGAGCAGGCCATAAACTAAAAGCCTGCAGGTGGGCCTAGACACTGTTATCTCCAGAGTCAACAGTTAGAACTACTCAGAGTGTTAGTTCACATTTACTAGAGCAGCAAGATCCCATGTGACTGGGAGATCCTCATCAGTACCTTGGCTTTCACTGACATTGAACCACCAGAGATTTGTGCGAAGTGTCAGAAAATACAAGCCTCCAAATACAGTTTACTAAAATCATCTTGCTTGCACATGTTGCAGCAGTGAGGGACTCTGAAGGGGTGAGCATCAGAGATCATCTGTTGGTGATAAGGGACTTTTAAGGACTAGAATTGGCTCTGGGTGTTGTGGAGCAGTGACACCTCTATAGAACTCGCTTCAGTCAGATGTCCATTGTGTTGTCACAAATGAAATAGAGTCAGACCCCTGTAATTGTTCTACTTTCCTTCTTATCCAAATGTACTAACTGCTCCAGTTAAGTTATAGCCAATTTGTCACTCTCCAGACCTATTAAGTAAAAAGAACTATGGGTACCTTACCAAGAGTGTGAATTCTGTGCTTATAATATCCTATTATAGCATACCTTTGACGGAAGGCGATAAGAGTCTTTATTCTGCAAGGCATTAGGCATTTAGTATTCAGTAAGGCAGTTCTTTTTGGAAGGTGAGAAGACCTACTGATTAACTGGTGCTTCTAGTTAGTTGACTCTCTCCCAAGTCTTCGTGTCAATGATGTAATGTTGAGTACCTGTGTTTAAAAAGAGAAGGTGGAGAGGAGGCACAGGAACCTATTATTCATGTACCTCAGCCTAAAAAGAGATGTTCATTGATACTATCAAATTCTCAGTAACAGCTGGTTAGTCTTGGTGGGAAGTTAGAATCATAGAATCACAGAATAGTTAGGGTTGGAAAGGACCTTAAGATCATCTAGTTCCAACCCCACTGCCATGGGCAGGGATACCTCACACTAAACCATCTCACCCAAGGCTTCGTCCAACCTGGCCTTGAAAGTTGGATAAGCCAGAGATAAAATAGATAAGGGAGTCAGCAGAAATCCACATCTTCCTCTTGGACTTACTAGTGAGCTTGAACTAAAAGAAGGAATTCCCTGCAGAAGGATGCACAAAAGTAGGCTTTGATTTTGTAGTGGGATATATGTAATGATCTAACAAAGGGCGCATTTGCAGGTATTGGCTTATGATATTCCTAACTGAAACCTCAGAGTTTATGGTTAAGTAGAAAGGAGCTGGAGGCCAAATTTAGGTTTCTAAGGCATGTTTTATCGCAAAAGTAACAGGACAGACATCTACATTTAAATAGACTAGTTTGAATGGAAGTCATGCTGGTTTTTAATCACTAACTATGATAGTATTTTACCATGCAAGCAGGCTTTGCATGGTGCTAATAAGAAAGGGAACAGTCTATTTGAAAAGCAAATGTGTCAGCTTGCAAGTAAAGTTTTATTGATTCACGAAGGCCTAAGAATTTAAGATATCTTAATTTATCCTATAGTAGTTATAATAGTTTCCATAGAAATTTTTATCTGCAGTTTAAAATAAGCATTGTCAGCTAAAGATGTAGTAGTTGCTGTGAACTGCAAATTATTGGAAGGGGGAAGTGCAGAGAAGTGAAGTTACTTTATGTTGTGTAGCTTGTCTGTCAGTAGAAACTGAAGTGGAACTGAGCTCTGTTTCTTTCTGATTATTTTAACTGCCGACTTGTTCTTTCTCTGTACTACTTTTCAGTTGCTCACATGACCTTTCAAGTTCCCAAAATATGAAGCCCAAGCTCTGCAATTTCAAGAGTTGTGTTTGAGCAGTTGGTGGTATTGACTGGTTTAGGTCAGGCAAATACATGCTTTTGAACACTGGATTTGAGATGCTACTTCTACTATGTGCCTTTTAATGAATTAGGTTTTGGAGAAGACACTGTATAAATTACTAGCCTAATTAAGTGAAAAAGGAAAATCCTTAGGATTTCACCTCAAAATAGGTGTAAAGCAAAACATAAGTCTCTGGTTCTCAAAAAGGCATGCTAAGGGAACCAGGCAGATGTAACAATGTGAACGATTTAGTTCCTCTTTAATAAATCTTGAACCCACAGCCCCAAATACACTTCAAGTGTTTTTTGAAAATAAGCAGTGGAGACCTATCAGTGCCTCTTCAATGGAAAAAGCAGGGATAATTCAGTTTTCTGTTAGTGTTTATTAGCTGCTTTCTCCTGTGTTCTGTTATAAACCACTTTTAATTCTTCTATGAAAAAGACCACTAGCCAAAAGGAGAAGTCTAGAGGAAAACATTAAATTAAGGCAAGTATACACTGATGCCTTCCTGAATGCTCGCTCAGCCTTTGTAATCCAACTACTTCTGTGCCAGAAGTAATTTCTGTGTATTAATAGCTTTCTATGGATTTCTCTTTCATGAATCCACCTCTATGAGCACATCTGTAGGAAGGCAAGCTCCACTAGTCCTACTGTTCTAGGAAAAATCAATCTTTAATTTTCTATCATCATTGTTGCTGTATCAAAGGTTGGTTCTAGATATTATAATAAAACCTTTTTTTACTTAAGGATACCAGGTTTTAGGTTTTGTCTGTCTCCTCTATGAATCCTCCTCTTTAAGGATGTCACAGTAGCATTTTCATTCTAACAGTAAATGAACTTATGTTTCTCCTGGGAGTGTCTGTTTATTCAAGTGGCTTTGATTTGCATGAGTATGCAATGTTCCCGGAAAGGGGCTTTGCCAGGTGCCCGTGAGCCCAGTAGTTAATGGTGTTATCTGGATGTTTGATTACAAGGTTTAACAAGGCTTAGTTCAGAAGGCTCTTGAAAACCTACTGCAAAAATGCTATAAATGCTTCAATCCCAGACAGAGGAAACAGCTGGCGTGCTGCAAGCTCAGTGCTTGCTCTTTGCCAGTGAGTAACAATACCTTCCTTCTCATTGAGATCAGTGCAGGATCATCACAGCATTTAGTGCTATTACTTTAGCCTACCCACAGATTCTTAAGACAAATGCTGTACTTCCTGGCTGTAGCGTCACCTCAGGGAAAGTTGAGACAAGGACTCTGAGATGCTGTGCTGTTAGAAATCACTGCAAAGCTGACATGGGTGCTTATAACTGAGCAGTCTCCTGGTCCTAAACCATGCAGAACTGAAGTGTGAAATGATGTGAAATTTAATGACCTGGTTGCTGCTGCTAGCTTCTCACACGATGTCTTGTACAGGCTGCTTATTTCCCCTTTCTGCATGAAGAAATTCCCATTTCTTTGAGCCTATTCAGCTACAGTTTCTTACAATAGTCTGGGGTTTAAGTGTTTCTGGCTTTAAAAGCTTGATATGCGTGTGTAATATTGTCAATTGCTGAGCTTGTATCAGCAGCACATCAAGCACAAGAATGGACATGCTATATGTGTGCATTAGAGTCTCCCTGATCAAGATGATGAGAGCTGGACTATTGCTGTTCCAGCAGTTACATGTTCAAGACTAACCACTTAGAACAGTGTAGATCATAGGCTACAGAAAGAAAGTTTGAGAGAAATAACAAGCTTTTTATTTTCAAACTTAACCACTAGTTTCTGGAGGGGAAAAGATAAAGGTCATCTGTATAAGTTTCCGGTGTCTCCTTTGACATATGATTTAGTTAGGGAGTTTTTATGTTCATGGAGACTGTGATTCCTGACTAGGCGATTGGCTGCAGTACTTCTTGCACTTAGCCTGTAAGAAGTGGGGTTGGAAGGGGGAATTAAACACAGCTATATCAGAAAAAGTCACACCGGAGGCTTCCTGATACAGCCTTTTCAACTCTTTTTTTTTTTTTTTTTTTTTTTTTTTTTTCAGGTGGGGGAGGCAGGGGCAAGTTTGATTCTTTCATATCACTTATGCTGCATACTCATTCTTCTGTCTGTTGCCCCACACATGTTACAGCAAGAATTCACATAAGGAAGCAAGCCGTAATACAGCATCTGGCCCTTAGCCCTTTTCAGAGCAAGGTCTTTCTGCTCTACCTTGTGCAGAGAAAAGCATGTTGTTGGGCTTTAATAGATTGTAAGGTGACCCTGAATGGTCTGAATTGCCTTGAGTTGTGAGTAAGCAAAGACATTTCTGAGAATGTGACTATCAAACAGCATTTCTTACTTGAATAAATGCATTGATCTCTGAGCTGCTTGTTGCTTTTAATGTGAGAACTAGTACGTCTGGAGAAAAGAGATAATGGTCCTTGTAGTTAACGTGCTGCCTGGGTCTCTGGAAATAGATTTTAATTCACAGCCCTGTATAATAGTAGTAACTTACAGTCTGTTGCATCAGTAAAATCGGACAAAGCTTCCATGCTTTGGAGGCCTGAAGTGTTGGTTTGCTTTTGATGGATATACAAACTATGACTTTGTAAATCCCGCAACTGGTGCAAATCTAACCTTACAGCAGTTCCTTTTATTATCAACGGTGATAGCTTTATCAGCAGCCTTATTGTTAGGATAGGGTTAGCATAATTTGATATCCGCATATCTTGCCCAGAGGTGATGAATTTTATGTATTCTTGGCTACAGTTTGCATTCCAGGATAATCAGCTCTCAAAAATTCTTCGTCAGTGAAATGTTTAGTGTACATGCTGTGATTAATGCTGTTTTGAACACAACTCGATTCAATATCATTAATGGCATGAGAAGGTATAGTCAGATAGTGGGCACTGTTAAGACAATTGATATCCTATTTTGGCATAACTGAACACTTCAGCATAGTGAATTCTGAATTTTTCCGAGGTGGATTGAACAGATTTGGGCATCATGCTAATATAATCCATTAATTCATATTTATATCCCTGATGTGGGGACATAATGCTCAGTACTAGTGGAGCAGCCATCTTGTGTAGTCTCCATCTCCTACCTCATGCTATATACATATACCTCAGTGTAGACAGAGGATCTGTATAATTTACATGTGCATGTGTATTTGCTGTTCTGGGACTTCTGCCATGAGACTATCCCATCTGGGAATGCTTTCTTTTCCTAATGAATATGTCATAAGGTAGTTCTCATAACTAACTGGCTAAGTTTTCTCTAAGTAGCTCTTGCCCTCCCGTATCTTCCACGCTTACTTGCATGACCTACCATCTGCATGTACAACTTTTTCTTACACTGTAAATGCCTAGTGCTCTTTCCTTAGGAACAATATGCTGGCTTTCGGCTTTTCTGACCTCTCGGTTCTTTGGTCTCTAAGGCCCAGGATATCCCCTATTAAAAGTGAAACAACAGAGCTGGAAGTAGCCGCTCTTTGCAACTTTACCAGACAGTGCTGGAAATGCCAGTCACTCAGACTTGCCATAAGGGGGCTTGTGGGATCTCATGTATTTCTCTTTGCAGGGTATTGTCCAAGCCTACAAGAGTGGCATAACTCTCCAGGGAAACACCACTAGCCTGGGCAGGTGGGACTTCAGTGGGTCTTTCTTCTTCTCCATCTCTGCAATAACAACCATTGGTAAGAGTTTGCTGCATGAAGGGCTGCCTTATAGGTGGAATGGGAGTGGGAATGAGGATGTGTACTATCAGATGCTGATCTGGTCCTGTGGGGCCTCATGTAGCTTGGTAAATCATAGAGTAGGTAAGCAACCATAAACCTAGCCCCAGAAAAGCTTTGTCAGTGCAAGGGCAGTAGTGATCTCTAACTAGATACAGGGATTAATTGCTTGGTACATACCCTTACTAAGTTACACAACTTTTGGGGCCTGAACTTCACAGTGCTGCACTGCCTGTGCTTTCCCAAGCCTAGTGCTCTCTGAGAGTTTTGAGGTGAATTGTGCATTGCAATGAGCCTTTCCTGTCACAAGGAGAGGGAATGACTTTGAAAAACTCTTGATACTGGCTGTTGAATCCTTGGAGACTATATTTATAAATTATTCCTTCTTATTACTACTTGTTTTGGATGAAGACCTGCTTGTATAGGTGAAAGTCAAAAAGCTAGATAAATAAAACAGCTGAATTGGGTTTCAGCAAATGAGTAATGGTGGAAATAAGTGGTGGGGAGAGAATGGAAACAATAAGGTGTATTTAAATATGCTGTTACTTAAAACAGATGCTATTAATTCTCAATGTATGTTCCCAGTCCTCAAAACCATTAATACTTGACAGGACATCTTTTTCTTACTGCATGGCTCAGTATTATAAAAAAAAAGGGGGGGGGGGGGGAACGATGACAATGTGGAGAGATGGTTGTTGGATATCAAAAACCTTCCTGATTTGTCTTCAATCTGTCAGATCTCTTCAATTTCAAGTACAGTTTTAGATCAAGAATTTTCTCTGCCCACCCATGTGGAGCATTCTTTTGATTTCTCTTACCGTTGTTGAATATACGTTGACTTCAGAGCATTAAGCCTCCAGACAAGAGGTCAGAGGGAAGGTTTGTGGTTTTTTTTCTGGGGGCAGAGGGCGTGGTACCTTCCTTTGACTCGGTGCAGCTTTCTGCCCTGCTCTTTTGCACATGCTTTGCTCGGGCTGGGAAGTGTTTGGTGTATTGTATGGGTTGTACCAGATGATGGCAGTGGAGGCTCATTACACAGGGCTACACTGACTGTGGGTTTCCAGCTTAGAGCCTGGGCTTTCACTTCCAGTCTTCAGTGCAAAGCAGCATCTGCTCAGAGCTGCACTGCATGTTTCAGTAAGTTAATCCTTCAGTATCTAAGCTGTTAAAGTAACTGCTTTCCACAACAGATTTAAGTTAATGACATTTGGGAAGAATCAAATTTGTCATCTTACAACACAAGAGGGTTTTGTGATGTTGGCAGATACCTAGCCTAAACATTTCTGGGTGTTACCCCAGGAAAGCCTAAGCTGCTCTTTCTTAATTTCTTTAAATAAACTCCATACCCTGATAGCTGGGGGATGACAATGACTGACTTGATAGGAGGGGCAAATAAAAAGAAAAAATTTTGCAGCTCTCCATATCATGGCTTTAAAGCTGATATTGTGACTCTAGGGACTTGTTCATGATTGTTTGATTGTGGACTTGAGAACGATATACAAGTCACCTCTATGAAGTGAACATCAGACAGCTGGGTCCCAGATCTTGCTTTTTCAAGTTAAATTGCTAAATGGATACAGGTTAGTGTCTCAATACTCTGTCAATAACAGTATGTTGAAGAGGAAAATAGAGATGGCCTCACAGAGCCTCACCTCGAGCCTGTTACCTCTTCCTTTATGCAAGTTCTTGAGACAGTGGGTGGCACAGCCTCCTTGACCCAGCCATCACTGGATGGCTGAGGAAGGATAACTGATGATGTACGTCAAGTAAAGAGAAAAGGTCCTTAACCAAGAGCTCAAAGTTCAGAGGAGTGATTCACAATATGGAGCTTCATGTAAAAGGCATGGCTATTGGGTAAATTGCACAGTTGAGAGTGTTCGAGAAAGGTTTGTTGAGGTTTTTGTGTCCTTATGTGGCAAGGAAGAGCTTAGTCCAGTATGTAAGTATGGAACCATTGAAAGCAGGTCACACTTCTCAAGATTAAAGCATAGGAGTTAAAAAGGCATTCTGGCAAATGAGTTCAGAAAGGACTGAGTTAAAATGATAATGGAGAAAAGTGTCTCAGGAGCTTAGGGGTACTACATAAAGATTTTGTTGAAGAATCTGGGTGGATTGTACTCCATGTGTTTAGGCAGTTGCAAGTCCTATGTCCTTTTTGTCTCTTCAACATTCTGTCTCTGCAACTAACGCTATCTGTGTCTTGCTGACCTCTTACATGATGCACATGATCTTTGTGGCTTTTGCATCAGCTTTTTTTTCCCTTAGTTTTCTCAAACAGCATTGCCAAAGCCATTATCGCTTTACCCTCATCACTTCCCTTTGAGATGCCCTTTCTGCTCTGTCAGCTTCTATTTTCTGCTTTAGGTGCTTTAACCCCCTTCAGAAGGCTTGGTGTGTTTCTTCAGTTCTTAACAGAGCACAGTTTCACTGGGATATGGAGGGGAATGTTAGCTACTTTCCCAATTAACACCAACTGAGGAACATTAGCTTCTTTTCCTACTGACAGTTTCAGCCCCCATGTCTCATCTTGCAGTATCTTCTGTGCTGTACCCTTCTTCCATTTAAATGAGAGTATCATCTATTTCCACTTGTGATTAACAGCAGTATGTAAATTTTGCTTAAAAAAAAAAGTTCTAACCTGAAGGCTGGGCACACTTGGCACCCTAATCCCAAAGGTTTAAAGAACAGACATGTATGAACCAAATCTGCTGTTTAAGGAAGTATCCCAAAGCCTGTGTAGTTTCTAGCCAGTCTTATAATTTGAATAGAACTGCATTTTTAACTTTTGATCATGCGGTTGGGCAGCCCTGGCCTTCTGCAGATTTATTCTCCCCTCTGTTGTGTTTCTGTGCTTTCTTCAATGCTGCATTTGACATGACATCCCAGATCTCGTATGTTATCTCTTTTTCTGCAGATGTTTCCATAGGAACCCTCTCTTCAATGCCATGAAGAATCATCCTCAGAGTTCCCCTAGAGCTTTAGTATTAAACATGATTAAAGAAAAGCTTATTTTCTGTTTTCTCTCTGGGACATCTTTATCCCTTCCAACACAAAGTCTTTCCTTTCTGTGTTTACTCTCCTCCTAGTTAGTTTAGACTAACAGGGCAAAGGTCAAAGCAAGTTCAGAGTGGGGCACAAGATGAAAGTTCCTAAAGTCAAATGACTACAGGGCGGTGTAATTTCAGAGAAGGTGCTAGGGAGAGGATTTATGATGAGACTGAGGTTGTCTGTGCTAACCTAAGAGTAGAAGAAAAAGTATTGTCCTCTCTAGCCTGAACATCCCCCCTCTATCTTGGGTGGGTGGATGTCATTACCTAGTGCCGCCTTACTGTTCCCTGATACTTAGCAAAGCTCATTTGCATGAATTTCAAAGACCCTTTTTTAAACACAATATGGGACAAGTAAATTATCTTATAGTGAAGAAATGAAGGGGAAGACCTTACTTCCATCCTTTCCTTCTCTGGTTTACACAGCATCATAGCTCCTGCCAATAATCCCCCAAAGGATTGAGCGTAGCAAAGAGGCAAGGAGCAGTCTATAGAGTGGGAGGTGGTATTTAGTACATTGTCACAGACATGCTGCCACAGATGATTCCCATGAGGGGAAAAAAACAACAGCTACTTAGGGTGGTAAAGTCCTGGCACAGTGTAGGGCTTTGGGCCAGCAAGAGTTTCTCTAAGACTTGACTCTCTGTAGTGCTGCATAGCATGTGATGGAGCAACTAAGAAGCACCCAGGCTGCTGCACATTGCTGGCTGGCAATCCACTGGGAAATGGATTTAAAGCAACTTGATGTCTCAGAGTAGTTAAAGCATGGGATAACAGCCTAGAACTGCTTTTAAATCTGCTCAGGTTTGTGGAGGGGAGTTCTCTGCTGAACAGCCCCACACCTTTGATGTCTTTTCCCTGCCCTGTGGCAGCTGGCAGAGCTGCTCTACAGCCTTGCCCAAGTGGGAGGTGGCACAATGGTCCATGAGAGGTTATTAGTGGATGTGGGGATAACGCTGTCAGCAACATCCTCTAAGCTGTCTCCTTAGCACTGGTGAATTTGATCTGCTTTCCTGCCACCTCATCCTCTTGAGACTAATTCTACAGCTTCCAGTGTATACACAGTACAAATGTAAAAGACTGCAGTACTCATCCCAAGCAGTTTTCTGGCCTTTCACTCACAAGAGTGTGCAACCAAATTTCACTGTTGCCTGGAACTTCATAGGGCTAAAACTGTTAAATAACTCTGTTCAAATGTGTATTTTCAGCCTAATAGTGTTAGCTATTGGTCTCTACTTCATCACTGCACCAGCTAAATGAATAGCTATGGCTACCTCCCACACAGACCCTGGATCAACCTGCCAAGGTACCAATGAGTTTCCCCATATATGACACAGTCCCTGAGATTCTGCTACCACTGCTTTTAAAATAAACTGGGTTATTTTTGTTGGTTCTAATCATAAAACCGAGATGCCAGTTCAAATACTGGGGCTGTTTGGGGTTTCAGAGTCCTGTTTCTGTGTAGAACAACTGAGAGGCCTCAGCAAAGTCACCGTCCATGGATGACGGAAACAGCTGTGACTTCCCATAAGATGTGTTCTGAGCTCAATGGCTGTGTCCAGCTGACAGGTATGAGAAAGAGTTCATCAAGATCTCCCCAAAAATGTGCTTGTATGCTTAAACCACCAAAAAACTGGTTAGAAAAGTGATGCTTCCTCCAGCTTTTTTGCAAATCTAATTCTGTTTTTTTCCACAACTAAAATTATTTGGTGACTTTTCAGATGGTTTTTAGCCTGTGAAAAACAATTTCTTCATTCTAAGCACTTTTTGCTTAAAATACTCTTGCATCTGGGCAGTGAGAACAGGAGCCAAACAAACCACCCATTGTGAGTAGCAGGAAGTCCCAGTTGCCTCTGCTGAGCTGGGGGGCACTGCAAGAAGGATACCACCTTGCAAATGAAGAGACCTTTTACTAATAATCCATTAACCACACAAGTCTCCTCCTCTTAGCCGAGCCTCTGAATCCCTTATGCATAGGAATATAATGAGCAAGCAGGAAAAGACTTAATATGTGTAACAGCACATGAGGTAAAACATCTAGAAATATGAACATTTAGAAGTAAACCACTCTTGTTGCTTCTGAGGAAGATTAAGTTACTTTGCACTTTTTTTCAAAGTGAGGAGCAATACAAGCATTTACTCCAGCTTCTTCAGTAAAAATGCTTACACTTTGACCTCTATTAAGTTTCTGGTGAGCATCTCTCTGTGTCTCTTGGTGCAGGCACGTACTAGGTGACATCCCAGTAGCAGGCTCAGAGGGACGTGACACACCTACCAGTGTAGCTTTAATCTTTGCATTATATCTGAACCAAGTTCATAGAACACAATGGTATAAGACACTGATTACCCTCATTCTATTTATTGGAGAGGGTAAGTCCCATTTACCCGTTCCTGCTTGAGTTTTATAACATTTGAGATTTATATAAAACTAGGTTGACATCCATTTGTCTAGTCCAAAATCAAAGGGGTGTCATCAGTCAGATGTCAATTGCTGACTATGTTGCATGATCTAAAGTCTTCTGTGCTGTTTGACCAAACTTTGTAGCCTGTGTAAAAAGCAAGTGGAACATGGCTTTTTGCCATGTTTACAGCAACTGCTCACTAAGTCTTCAGGAAATTGTCTTGAGCTACTAAGCCCAAGGGGAAATGGAGCCAAACAAATCAAACACCATGTCTGCTTTGCACATGGTGTGCTGGGCTTACTGTGCATATTAGACCTTCTTACATCACTGAATTTGCTGCTCTAAAATAGATGTAATGTACAGCTTGACCTTAGATGCTCTCCAGGTAGCACTGTGCAGGGTCCTTAAAATTCTGAAGGCTGCTGTGCTTCACACAGCGACCTGAGATTATGGACCTTTCTTCCTATCTGATGTTTTTCTCCAAAAATAACCTGGAAAGCTGTGGGTAGAATGAACTGCCTGAGCCATTACGCAATCTTTTTAAATTAGATATAGAAGATAGGGGAAGAATAGCTGCTGTAAATATATGTGACTCACATTCGGACTCCAGCCTCACAGTAAATGCCCCCCACCTCTTTCTCCTGAGTCCAGAGCAGCCTGCAAAACACCTTCATTCTGTAAAAGAGAAAGGCTGGAATTAATCCACTGAAATGTGGCACAGCCAGTGTGAAACAAATCACACCAGGTACATATCTCTTAAATTCACTTAGATAGGTTCACCTACCAGACGTACTTGCCTGCATGTGCATGGATGGAGTTTTGAGCAATCTGGTCTGATGGACTGTGTATCTGCTCATGGTAGGGAGGCTGGAACCAGATGATCTTTAAGGTCCCTTGTAACCCAAACAGTTCTATGATCTGTGCCTTTCATTTATCGCACCCACTAGTCTAGAAGTAGTGAAAGCTGACAGAAGTCAGCAGTTCCACATGGGGAGAAGGAAAGTGTGTAAGTATCACGAAGTTGTTCATAAGTGAAGAACATGGCACTGGAATAAAAGCTGCTGTACAGTCTTAATTTAGCCCCTTTGTTTGACACAATCAAAGTGTTTCAAAACAACCTCTAGTTACGCAACAGCATCCCATTTTTTCCAGGGGATTCTCTGCCCCCTCTTGGGACAGGCTGCTAGGGCCGTCACTTTGGATGTATATTATATGTTATCATTTACATTAAATCCATGGGCTCACAAATCATTCAGGCATAAAATTATTGGAGGGAAAGTCCTCCAGATAGTAAAATTATGAATTTGTGGGGGTAGGCATGAGATGAAAAAACAGCCAGCATACATACCGTGAAACAGTTTGCTGCCAGACCTTTTCTGGAGGTAGTTTGATGGTGCATGTGCACAATTAATGCTTTCAGAATTGTCCATAGGGAGAAATTCTGTCAGCACAAAGCTTGGCACAGAAAATATAGACATCATAAGCTCATAGTCACTATTCTATAAGTGATAAACTAGTGACTTACTGCAACTGGCGTGAGACAGTTTAGTGAAGGAATGGGACTCCATTTAACCAACCACAGATGTTTGCAATCTCACTTATCTAGCATAAGAAGCCAGCTCTTGGACCTGTCCCTCCTGGGGTTTGCCCATTTGCCCTAAGACTACACCACCTACAAGCATGGTAGGAAGGCATCAGTGGCGGGAGCACCTCTGTGCTTGCACTGAACCAAGAGCTGGGTGTCACTGGGAGGGGATAGATTATGTGTGGCGAAAAAGGTAAACTCTGACAGATTGTCAGCCTTATGTATGGACATACACAAATCTCTAGTGAGTAGAGGTGATTTTGAAATGCAGTCAAGGCCATAGGCTTTGGCTAAGTTTCTGTTGATATGCTTGTCATGTGCTAGCCCTTTCCCTGTCTTAAAAAGTGTCCTGTGAAATAGACCAAATTGAACCTGATCTTCTGGTGGTATAAACCACTTGAAATTACAGAAGTGCAAGTGCGCAGATTTACAGGACATTTTTAAAAGAAGATATGGGGAACAAAGGTAAATATTGCAGCAGTGATGTTGAAGGTGTAATGGTCTAAGGATACAAGCAAGGCTGTGATTGCAGGACAGTACCTTTATTAGACCAGTTCATATGATTAGGAGAAAAAGGGCAACATTTCAAGCACTTCTTTTTCTTTCTTTCTATAGGTCTGAAACCAAAGTGTTTTACTCAGATTAAATATAATTTCTCTGGGTTTACTGACTCTAGGCAAACATTTTGACAATTTAAGGTTAAAGTGTGTTTGGTACTTGTGGCACAAAAGAGGCATATAAACAAAGAGGCAGTGTTAAGTTAATTAATTTTGTGGGACAAAGGTAGAAAAAGGTGGTTGTTATAATGAAAACACTATTGTGATTCAGAGACCATCTGACAGCCACGTAGGTTCATTTACCAGCAAACCCTATGCCAACAATGCTTACAAAAACTGAACTAAATGGAAGTTTTGCATTTACGTCAGACCCCAGCCAGGACAGTGGATAGGGAAGAGGAAATTGACTGGTAAATGGGAAAGGAACTAAGCAAAATTGGCAGGGAAAGAAATGTTATTTTCCAACATGCAGTAGGATATGGCAAACAATAGATGTAACTTAGTTATTTACAAAAAAGGTCCTTTTTGGAGCAGTGACCTTCTCCTCTAACTTTTGTAGAAGATAGAGGTTCACCCTTCTGTGGGAGAAGGGCAAGCAGAGAATATTTTAGCTTTAACACCTCATTTATTTCCTGCTTAGGCTATGGGAACCTGAGTCCCAGCACTGCAGCTGGTCGAATCTTCTGCATCTTGTTTGCACTCTTTGGGATCCCCTTGAATCTTGTACTCCTGAATGAAATTGGGCAGCTGATGCTGTTGGGGGTTCAGCATTGTGGCCATCGCCTAGAAGAGGCATTTCATTTGCAGGTAAGCTATATGGATAGGTATGCCTCACCCTCAGGTTCAGGAAAGGAAAGAAAGAAAGGGCATTGTCTAGTATTTGGGATTCTGTGACTAACAAGGACAGCTGCCTACCTATTTGGCCAAAAAGGCAGTAACACTCAGGAATAACTGGAAGCAGATAAATTTAGTTTATGACAGCCCTATGAGGTGTTAGATAAGGTTGTTTATTAATTGAGGGAACTTCTATGATGAATGGCTTCCTGTACAGGAACAGAAGTGCCAGAGGCCTAGAGCCGCTCAATAGACCAGAATATCTGGTCTGTTTATCATCAGTTGTAGTTAAAATTGCACACGTAAGTTATATGGGAACATTTGTGAAATAAGCTTTAAACTGGCATGAATTTAGGACTCATGAAGGTGATGAGCTTCACATGCACTTCAGTCAATATGAACTCATGAAGTTTATGTTGACTGGAAGAGCCACACTGTTTATTCTAGTGAAACTACAATCATAGAACAGTTAAGGTTGGAAAGGACCTTAAGATCATCTAGTTCCAACCCCCCTGCCATGGGCAGGGACACCTAGCACTAAACCATGTCACCCAAGGCTCTGTCCAACCTGGCCTTGAACACCATCAGGGATATGGAGTATTCACAACTTCTGTGGGCAACCCATTCCAGTCCCTCACCACCCTTACAGCAAAGAACTTCCTCCTTATATCCAATCTAAACTTCCCCTGTTTAAGTTTGAACCTGTTACCCCTTGCCCTATTGCTATAGTCCCTGATGAAGAATGCCTCTCCAGCATCCTTGTAGGCTCTCTTCAGATACTGGAAGGCTGCTATGAGGTCTCCACACAGCCTTCTCTTCTCCAGGCTGAACAGCCCCAACTTCCTCAGCCTGTCTTCATACAGAGGGTGCTCCATTCCCCTTATCATCCTCCTAGTCCTCCTCTGGACTTGTTCCAATAGCTCCATGTCCTTATGTTGATGACACCAGAACTGTGTGCAATACTCCAAGTGAGGTCTCATGAGAGCAGAGCAGAGGGGCAGGATCACCTCCTTCGACCTGCTGGTCATGCTCCTTTTGATGCAGCCCAGGATACGGTTGGCTGTGAGTGCACACTGCCAGCTCATGCTAAGGTTCTCATTGATCAACACCCCCAAGTCCTTCTCCGCAGGGATGTTCTGAATCTCTTCTTTGCCCAACCTGTAGCTGTGCCTGGGATTGCTCCAACCCAGGTGTAGGACCTTGCGCTTTGCAGGGTTAAACTTCATAGGGTTCATAAGGCTCATAAGGCATGTTCAGGTTCTTAAAATGGTCTCAAACCAGATCCTCTCCTACAGTGAGCCTAAAGTCTTCATTCTCACAGTCCCTGCGTCTGCCTTCCAAGACTTGGGTGGTGTGGTCAGGGCATTTGCCAGTGAAGACTGAGTCAAAGAAGTCATTAAGAACCTCAGTCTTCTCCAAATCCAGGGTAGCCAGTTCTCCTGATAGCTTCTGGAGAGGGCCCACCTTGTCCCTAGTCTATCTTTTATTTGCAATGTACCTATAGAATCCCTTCCTGTTATCTTTCACCTCCCTAGCCAAGTTTAATTCTAACTGAGCCTTAGCTTTCCTAACCTGGTCCCTACCTTCCCAGACAACATCTCTGTATTCTTCCCACGCCACCTGTTCTTGCTTTCACCTTTTATAAGCTTCATTTTTCCTTTGAAGTTTCCTCAGTAGCTCCTTATCCATCCAAGGAGGTCTCCTGGCCCTCCTGCTGCAGTTCCTTCTAGTCAGGACGCAACACTCCTGAGCTTGTAGCAGGTGATCCTTGAATATCAACCAACAGTCTTGGGCCCCCTGCCCTCTAGGGCTGTATCCCATGGAACCTTACCAAGCAAGTTCCTGAAGAGGCCAAAGTCTGCTCTGTTGAAGTCCAGAGCAGTGAGCTTGCTGCACGCTCTTCTCACTGTCCTGAGGATCTTGAACTCAATCATTTCGTGATCGCTGCATCCAAGGCTGCCCTGGAGCGTCACATTTCCAACAAGCCCTTCCCTTTTGGTGAGCACGAGGTCAAGAATGGCACCTCTCCTTGTCAGCTTCTCTATTACTTGCAGAAGGAAGCAGTCTTCCACACAATCGAGGAACCTCCTGGATTGCTTATGCTGAGCCATACCATCCCTCCAACAGATAGCAGGGTGGTTGAACATCATGAATGTCTGTGTGTTTTTATGGAGTCTAGCATAATCTTCAACCAGAAACTGACCTGGACTTTCCTTGACACTCTTCTTGTGACAATCTCTTCTTTTTTCTCTTTATTTTTCTTTTTATCTCCCTGTTTTACTAGGAAAAATCTTCCCTGCTGATTAAGACCTCTGCGCTGGTGACTGGCTTGTTATTGTTCCTTCTCCTACCTCCCTTGTTGCTCTCTGACAAAGAAGGCTGGTCTTATGAAGAAGGCTTCTATTATTCCTTCATTACCCTCAGCACTATAGGGTTTGGAGATTATGTGATTGGTGAGTAGTTTGCATTTCATTGCTTTCACCTGTTAAACATGAAAGCTACATGTGTGAGGTATGAAGGTCCCAGCTTGGCAGTTTTACACCACTAGCAAACCACAGACCTGATGATCACAGAATCATAGAACAGTTAAGGTTGGAAAGGACCTTAAGATCATCTAGTTCCAACCCCCCTGCCATGGGCAGGGACCCCTCACACTAAACCATGTCACCCAAGGCTCTGTCCAACCCGGCCTTGAACACTTCCAGGGATGGAGCATTCACCACTTCTCTGGGTAAACTATTTCAGTGCCTCACCACCCTAACAGTAAAGACAAATCACAGTCAATGATGTGTTGTGCTAGGCATTTGACAGGTTGGAGAAGACATGATTGCTGAGATAGCAAAGAAATAATTTCCCAGTCAATGAGTAATATTTCAGTATTCAGGTTATCTGCCCCTTGAACAACTGTAACACCAGACTGGAGCACTACATTTTTCATGGCACCGTCACTGATGGCTCACTTGGTGTGCTCCAATGTCAGCGGTGGTTAGTTTTAAGCAGATGACACTCTGCATCAACATTAGCAGACAGTGACTGCTTCCTCTGTCAAAACCCCTTTTTTGGACAATTGCTTTCTAAAAGGCAGCTTAAGTCACTTAGGTGTAGACTGTCAGGCACCAGGCACAGCCTAGTTTTAATTGTCAAAACCCTTTGCCAGAGGAAATGGGCTTGGATCTACTCCCAATGCACAGGACACACCTTTCTGATGAAGACTTTCTCATTAGAGACAAATTGATTAGAGAAACATATGTATCCTTGAATCCCTGGGAGACAAAAAGACTAAAATATCTTACGTCTTGCACCTAGCAGTCTCTGTGGATAAAACATTCTCCTTGAAAGACCCAGATATCCCTTCTTTCTTGTCTTCATTTATTATTTAGATGCAAGCAATTTTAAAACCTTTGAATTTAGCATCAGTGAAAGATGTTTGATTGAAGGATGAATATAATACTTTTTCTGGTTGAAGTTCACCTTGATGTAGAAAGTCAGCCCAGAGAGTAGTTACTACAGAAGTATTTGGTAGCTCCTAGACATTTATCCGTCGTTTGCTGACAACATCAAAATGTTTTGTGCTCCCTTTATATTGAAAACACATACAATATGTACTATATTAAATATAATAATACCAAGTAAATGGCTGTAAAAGATTGGCTGTTTCCTATGGCTCTGCTGACCAGTTATTACTTATCACAATCTTGTAGACAATAACAGTTCATGGACCACAATTTGGGAATGGCTAGTCTGTGCAGATAATGACAGATGATTTATCATCCTGCAGATGATAAATCTGCAGATGATAAATACCTAAACACCAGCTTTTATATGGATGTCCCATTTCAACCCACCCCTATGTGTACTTCTTCACTGGCATGTGGTATGGGAAGTGACTTCCAGGTTCATGGAGGTACCACCTCAAAAAAGTCAACTCCTTCTATTCTGTCCCAAAATTATCAGGTGTTCTGTAGTATCTGCTGTGCTGTAAGTATTCAGCTATAAAGTGACAAACCCTCCAAAGGTAAGAACTAAATAACAATACCTGAGAAGCACTAGAGGAAAATCCTATGCAAAGACTTTGCTGCTGCTGATTTGTATTCTGCGTCTTACCTGTTTTTATAAGGGTGCCCCAGCCAGCTTTACAGATACAGCCCAGGCACTTCATAACACTGAGCTCATTCCTTTGCTCTGCCTATATTAATATTACTACTGACTCAGTACATAGAAGATTCTTTGCACAAACTATTGTGAAACACAGCCAAAAATATGATTCTGCTCCAAAGGGATCACAAAGCACCTAATGGAGCAGCTGGGCAGAGGTATCATAATTTCAGGCTGTCTTCCAAGGCTTAGCTGTTCTTGGAGGTTTTGGGACTGCTCAGCCCCCTTCCCTTCTGCTCTTAAAGACTCACTTATACCTGGCTTAACAAAATACATACACTGGTACATAAAACCCACTTAGCTCTCTGCCTCCAGAGGACCTCTGTTACATACTAATATAATATTGTGATGATGAAATGAAAATGGGAAATGAAACTGTGTACTTAATTGTGAATAATTTCACTTTGACACAGATGTAATCTGGGATTTATTTGTCTTTCTTACAGGTAATCTTTACAATTCCTAGGTAGTCCTAGGCTGTTGCTGCCACATTCATGAAACATGCTTGCATCATCTGTTTGCATGCTACATAGACGGCATACTCATGTTTTATACAGAATCACTAATACTAGATCATATTTCCACTGTCCTTGCTTTATATGTAGTATTTGTCTCCTTTAGGGCACTCTTGATCTAATCTAGAAATGTTTTGGGTGATTCTCTTGTAGGGATGAACCCAGACCGTACCTACCCAGGCTGGTACAAGAATGTAATCTCTCTGTGGATCCTCTTTGGGATGGCCTGGCTAACACTGGTTATCAAACTTTGCATCAACTTTCTAGAGAGCTCCAGTGACTTCTGTCAGTGCAACAAGAGCCCGGTAGAAAAGTTCATGGATGGCAACAGAAATAGTACAAAGGGACTTCATGATGTAGAGATCTGCAATGACAAAGACACAAAAACAAAAGGGCCAGATGAACCTCACACCTACACAGCTCCTGCAGAAGCACTCTAGGGAAGAATCATATCCTTGGTGTCTCCTAGACAGAGAGATGCATCACTTAGATATTTGGGAACAGAACTGCCCTGATGTTCACATGGGGTAAAATCTTGCTTATTGAACTTGAAATACTTCTATTCTGAATAGAGTGGTGACAACAAAATATTTCATTTGCAGCACCACTAAGAATTACCAATGGGAATTAGCCAAATCTTAGCCAAAAATAGATATTGTCCAACCTCCCATCTCAATATATGAAGCAAACTTTGACATCCATATGCAATGCTAGTTGTTGTCCTCTTCTTTACATGCAAAGTTCTTGTAGTCCCTAATTGTAAGTATAGCATTTTGCAAACACCACAACTAGAAAAACAAGTGCCATTTAATGCAGGAAATGTTGCTGAAAGAGTTAATGAAAATTACTATATAAAGCCACCTGGCAGTCACTACAAATGTGCTTCACCACCCATATGCTTGTGCTTGCCAAAGGTGGTAACATGCTTTTGATAATTAGTACATGGATGGCAACGAGGCAGAGCTCATACAGGTGCTTAATAGAAACATAATTCCTTTTTTTTAATAAATTTCTACATGAGAGGTCCGCTAATATTAAAAAAGACTAGGTAGTTAGGCTGTTCCTTACTCTAGAACTTATACAGGCTCATCCTTTATGAAGTACTATGTAGACCAAATGTCATCAGCTAATGGGACAGTTCATTTAGATAGATTTTTATTTTGCCACATTTTAGAAGCCATAAAAGGAGGAACAGAGGCAATTTTAAGTACTAGTGATTCCAACATTATCCCATGGCCAGTGCTAACAAGGGCAACTTTAATCTAGAAACAGACTGAAGTGACTTCAACTGTGATCAAGAAATACTATTCTGATGAACTTCTCATGTCACAAATGAGTAGTGTATCTGTTCTAGCTCACATCTCTTATATAAGCACAACTATCTTTTTATCTGCAGAATGCCATATTCTGCAGAATTTTGCCTTTTTGTCAATTATGAAACAAAACTGGTTTGTGTTGCTTTGTGGGGTTGGGATTTTTCCCACTTCCATTAAATTCTACAAAATCTTTTTATACATTATGCCATTTATAAAGACCCAAAAGAGTCAAACTCCTGCTGCCACTTATGTACCCATATCTCATTTTCTCATTTTCTTATTCCTGTTGTGCTATGTGCGTCTTAGAGCATTAACTTTGAAAGCTTCATCATAGCAGTAAACCAGAAGGAAGCATTTGGATAGGCCTTCAGATTCTGCATTGGATCAAGACGTCATATGGATGGTGGAGAAAAGACTGAAAACTTGGATTTTTGAGGATTGCACTCAGGAATTACAAGTATTCATAGCTGGATTTGCAGAAATGCAGTGAATGAAAAGTTTACAGTCTTCAAGAATGCAAGTTCTGAAATACATACCATGAAAAAAAGTATTTCTACAGTAGGCCAGTCTGAGTGTTTATACGTGGTGGTACTGATTACAGAAGAAAATGCAGGGAAGGAATCTGCTGGATGAAATCTAGTCTGTCATTTATTAGCCTTTTTGTCATCGCCTTTTTCCAACTCCACTGTAATAAATATTCTCTTAAATACTGTTTGAATATGCAGCAGAGATAAGGAAGAAAGGTAATGGAAATCTCAGGTCGTAGTCAGGAAACTGGTGCAAAATAAACACATTTGAATTTTTTGAAGATTGGATAATTTCTTTAACAAACTTTAGCATCAACTTTTCTGTTTCATATATGTTTTGTCTTGTTTATTTTCACTGACGCATATGCAATGCAAGTTTTGCTAATATTCATAATGGACTGGCCTACAATAATACTAAAATGTATTTATTTAAACCTAAGTGAAACACAATTCCACAGCATAAAAAGTGATAACCTTTTATGTATATTTTACTAATTTATATTAGTAAATATAACTTCATTGTAAAACCTGGATGACCAGATAGTAGGAGTAAGCAGTAGGACAGTAGGTGTTCCTACTGTCAAAGTGTATTTCAACATTATCTTGAAGTGTCACAGGCTCTGAGGATTTCTACCAGCTCAGCTGTTTGATGAGAAGGCTTAATCTGAGAAGATTTTCTTCTCTTCAATTTGAATGCCTGTTATATTAATCACATTTGATTACTATTCTTATATATTTGTAGTATGTGGATGAGGTTTTCAAAAGAGCCTTAGATGTTTGGGCACCTTCGTCCCACTGAAGTGTAAACAGAGTCGCACGCCTTAGGACAGCTAATATACACTTCTGAGACCTAAAAGGAAGAGGAACTCGAGTAGTCCTGAAAAAAAAAGGAAAAAACAGTAATTCTTCATGGATCTCAGTGTTTCCAGTGTGTGTCAAGGTTCATCCACAAACTGAAGCATATGGCTGGGTCTCAAGGTGACTCAATATCTGCCCCAGCAATCCTTGCTGATTCACTTCCTTCCGCAGATGTGCTGTTGTATTGCCTAGCAGCTCACCACCAGCATAGTCCTGCCACTAACTGTCTGGTACAGCATGCTTACAGGAGGTACATCTGAGCTGCTTGCAAGCCACGTGCAACTCCAGAGCTGTGAGTTGCCTGTTTGGGTCCTGGATCACCTAAAAAACCATGAAATAAGTCAAATTCCAGCTCTGCCTGGGTTCTCTGACACCGGATTATCATGTTGTCATTTATGAATATCCTTAATGTCAGTTCCCCAGCTAGCTTTTCATATGGACAATAGATAATATTGTATCTGAGTCCCCACAAACTGCTGTGCCTCTAGTCTTTCTGTTCTTTATAAAGCTGTGTTGTGGTTAAATGACATGGATGAATTTATTCCCAGAGGGATGAGCAGAAATTGGAGTTTTGCAACATCATAAAAACATCATCGCTGATCTGTCTACTCTACCAAAATATGAAAGGTTATCTGCTCAAGGGTAAAATAAAGAAAACAAAAGCATGGTGCTGTTATCATTCTTGTCACAGCTCATTTGCAGTCTACTGTAATCTGCATTGGAAAATTACAGATGCTCCTTGATTATTATTTTTTTTATATAATGTCTCTTCCTGCTCAGATAAGAATGCAGTTTCATTAGTGATTCATTAGTCTTTTGGGTAAGACTTTCACTGCTCTTATTCTTCACACGTCAATTCTTCCTTATTACCCTGTTTTTTTAATTAGGGGGACCAGGGGCTGGGAACAGGTTTGGTTAGTAATGGTAGTTGTAAATAGTTATGTAAAATCAGTGTCCAGAGGCTTTTTCCCAATTACATAGAACATAACATGCTTCTGACCTTTGTACAGTTTCCCAGTAAATCAATCCCTTAAAGGAAGAAAATAGGCCTCTCTCTAGCTCCCCTACTCCAAGGACAAGTCCGACTTTAGCCTCAGTGGTTTTCACACTGGCTCTTTCAGCTAGTCCAAAAGAGATGTTTACCACTTGGGGAGAGAAAATCCAGAAATATGTAATAAGTTATTACAGCAACATAGTACAGACTGCACAGTTTTAAATAATCTAGTTGACTATAGTATTTTAAATTCCCTACACTAGAACAAAAAAGCCCTTTTCTCCATAAGGATCTTGGAGACAAAAAAATCTGGGATACCACTTTTCTCACAGTGACTGGCTGATGCGATCTTACCTAACAACTGATATCCCAGCTCTAAACTGAGCTCAGACTCTTTAGCCTAGAGAAGGCTCAGGGGGGGTTCTTATCAATGTATCTAAATATCTGCAGGGAAGGTGTAAAAAGCATGGAGCCACACTCTTTTCAGTGGTGCTCAGTGACAGGGCAAAACACAGTGGGCAAAACTGAAACACAAGGAGTTCCTCTTAAACACCAGGAAGCAATTTTTCGCTATGAGAAATGACTGAGCACTGACACAGATTGCTCAGTGAGGCAGTGGAGTCTCCACCCTCAAAGATACTTTAAAGCCGTCTTGACACAGTCTTAGGCAACCATCTCCAGGCGATTCTGCTTGAGCAGGGATGTTCAAACAGGTGACCTCCAGAGATCCCTCCTAACCTAAACCATTCTTTATTTCAAGGTCAAGCCATCCTGCTCATAGTCCACAGCCTGCGATGTCTCCAAACTATCTCCATTAAAGCTCAGGTTGCACTACTAGCAGGAAGACCTGACTCTTCCCAGAAAGGAAATGGATCTTTCCAGTCTGAGTGAGCTCAATGGGCTGGCCTATAACTGTTTATTTTTTCATAAAAACTTGCAGAATTTTCCTTTATCTATGCAGCTATTACCAAAGTTTAGGTTCTATTGAAATTGGCAATTTGTAGACACTAATTAATTTTATCTTACAATCAAACAACAGCTTTATACAAAGGGTGGTACAGAGCAGATACAATTCGCTGGGGATGGGGTGTCTATCCTCCAGATGTTTCAAGATCATTGTGCCATTCAAAAAATGTGCAATAATGTTCAACTATTCAGCTTGGTGTAGCTTCCTGTCATTGTTATGTATCTGCCTACAAGTTCTACCAAAAGGATTCAAAGCCTCATCTCTTACATGCTTCAGGTAAGGCAAACCTCATTTTGGTTTACCCTTTCTAAATTGGAGGCTTACATTGGTATGGGTGACTACTTACAAGTTGAGTCAGGACAAAATTTTAGTGAAATTAGGTCTTATATGAGCTTGCTATCACTGAAAATAAAAATTCTGGCTGATGGAAGAGAGGGATGCAATAAAAAAAAATGGTCTTTTTCAGTACCTTTGTGATATGGCTTAAGAAACTGTGTTCTTGATAGTGTCTCCCCTTCCTTCAATCCTGGCTGTGTGAGGGAACATCAGGGCATATGATTTTTATGATTGCTTGAGCACCTTTGTTGTTTTAGGAAGTTTCTTCTTTTTTACTTTTTTTTTTCAATGTGTCACATAAGTCTGTGGAAATTTACAGTTGAAATGGAATTAAGTTTGAATGTCTAGGCAACTATCTGTCATGCTGCGCAGTTCTGGGCAAAGATTCAAAGGTTTCCCAGAAAGACAAATGATTACAATGGAATGATATCTATGCTCTTAAAAATTCTCATCTCTCAGAACTGAGATTCAAACAGCTGGTTTGGTTGAGGGCTTTGTTGGGGTTTTTTTTTCAGAAATAAACTGATATACATGTTTTAAGCTAGCACTAAGCAGGTAGAGATGATCTCTGATACCTCTGAGGTCAATGCATGTTGTAAAAGCCACTGAAAGGCTGTCACTGTTGTTGGAGAAAATAGCAGTACTATGGCTTTCAGAAACTATGCATACTGGAATAGGACAAGAAAAGATGAAAACTATTTTAAAATCTTCAATGCTGTACAAGGTTTCAAAGTATTATTGTATTCTAAAGTTGCTGATGTTAATATATGTGCAGATATGGTTTCCAAACCTTTTTATTCCTGTTTTGAGCTAAGATACCTTTATTTTTAAGGGAAGCTGTAGAAGAAGACATTCCCATTAAAAAATTGATAGATCCATACTCTCTGGGACTAGGTGGTGGACCTGCCTCTTGGGACAAAAGCAGTGCAGTCTAAGTTAGAGAGGCTTTGAGGGTTTTTTTCATTTTTATGATAATATGTAACTTGTTTCTTCCCTACTACTAACTTAAACTTACTGGAACAGAAGATTTAGTTCTTGAGTAACATAAGTTTCCAAAATCTCTAAATTAAAACAAGACCATGCTTACCAAAGTAAGCTATAACAGGTGAAAACAAAGGGAGAGAAAATAATAAGAAAGAATATGTGGAGAAGGAGAAAAGCCTGTGGAGTTTGTTACTCTTTCCTAAGAAGCCTGTTATTCAAACTTGACCAGGTTCATACATTTCTTTCAAATTTGACCACGTTCATACATTTCATTTTGATGAGGCCTTTAAAAACCATAAATTAATCAGTCCATATTTAGTCAGTGATTATGGAAAGGCTTCAGACAGCCATGTATCTGAGTGAATAGAAAGGCCCAATGCATAAAGTCAGGATTGTACAAATCTGCCACCAGAGGCAAAACTGAAGACACAGATGTGTGAGGTGTCCCTGCCCATGGCAGGGGGGTTGGAACTAGATGATCTTAAGGTCCTTTCCAACCCTAACTGTTCTATGATTCTATGTGGAAACAGAACAAGGAGGCACACAGTAAGCATAGGGTCAAAAAGAAAGAAGTTGAGGCAAGCAGACATCCAGTGAGGAAGCATTTGCCCAGCTGGCTATGATAAATAAAGAATGTGTAATTGAGGGAACTTTCAATATAATTAAGAATTAGGATTAACCTGATTTAAATAGCTACTGATCAAAAAATCATGATTGTACCATAATTGCTGTTAATCTATAAGGAATTCTATTACACGTTGGATTTCCAAGGCACTTTTTTAAAAGCATTTAAGTTCTCCTCCAGATTAATGTTGTTAATTCCTTCTCCTGGTATTCTTTTGGATCCACACATTGGTTAGAACATTATCCTCATACTAAAGGTGACCTACTCCTCAAACAGATAAAGAGGGGTGCTTTCCAAATGCAAATTTAAATCAATAAGCTTTGGGTTAAAATCTATAAATACTAATTTTATATGTATAGTGCAGAAAAATATTATCCCAGACAGCAAATGGGGTGAATGACTGCTTGATGTACTGGAACTATCATAGACAGTGCCTAGCAGCTTGGTTTTACATGATTTTGCAAAGCACAATGCAAAGTTTAATTAGTTATGGGCTTCAAAATAAGAGAGAATTGCTCCTTAATAAGCAATGAATGTAAGTCAAGACTCTACTTGAACATAACCAGTTTGAGTGTACCCAAAATAATGCTTGTCGTGGTTTAAACCCTAGCCAGACAGCTTGTTCACTCACTCCCAGTGAGTGAGTGAGGGGGCTCTCCCCTTCCCCACTCCTGGAGGAACAGGGAGGAGGATCGAAAAAGTGCAACTCCCACGGGTTGA